ATTTATCCATCTGATAATGATCCAAATCACCCCTCTATTCCTCCATCCATCCTCCACAAGGAGAAATTCCCAAGGCATCCTGATCAGACGCCTAAATGATCTCTCCTTCTCAATGCTGCTTCTCCTTTTGGAGTGGGAAAGCATCAGTTTTACTTCAAACTCCATCTGAATGGCAAAGCTCCTCACCTTATCTCTAAGGCTGAGCCCAGGCACCCTAGGAAATAAGCTTATTCCAGACACTTCCATTAGGATCTTGGCTTTCAGTTATGTTTTTTATCTTGCAACTGTATTCAAGGGTTAACGTGGAAAACCCAGTAAAGCAAGAGCTTTGCATTTTAGCTCTGAACTCAGTCTTTGAACCTGACTTTTCCTGACAGCATTCCTCAAGTGATTGTTAGAGCAGATATAGCAGCCAGTTGCAAAGATTAGCCTTAAATCCAAACACAGAACAGATAGAATGCAGCAACACTTAAGCCGATCGGGACATACATTGTAGTTCACAGTTTTGTCCTGATCTGACATTTGCTAAATTGTTTTAATTGCGTTTCGAGCGTTTTGGATGAATATAATTGTCATGCCTGCTGCCTAGTGCTAATTAAAGGTTTACTTCGGATGTCGGTAAACCTCTAGGTTAATAAGCAAAACTGTAATTAACTTGTAAGTCTGCATTGAGGTCAAACTATGTCAAGTACTGTATGCGCACAAAAAAAAACATGCTCATCCGGCCATGCTGAACTAAGTACTGAGCGTATGAAAACACCAGGGTTTAATCTTATTTTGTCTGGTAGAAGGAGCTGTGGGAGTTTGCCAGCAGCTTATTTTCACCACAGTGGTATACTACTCTGAGGGATTTGGGCACCTCCTTTTATGCAGCATTTGACAGAAAAGCAGAGGCATGAAATATTTAAGCAAATGTGTACAGCTGGAAGGGTAAAAGTGAAAGCATCAGTGCGTCAGAGAAATGTCTTTAAGGTGATCTATAAGCCTGTTATTGAGAATGACTTTACAACAAGGTTTAAGTGCCTCTGATAGGTTTATGGCCACATTTCTCCCAGCATAGAGTTTAAATATTGCCAGTTATGAAACAGATTCTCGAGGTCTCTTATGAGAATGTATTGTTTGATATTAGAGGAAACATAAAAAGAATATTCATATAGGATTCAGCACTGGCTTGAGTCAGTCTACAAGGAAAGAGTTTTTGCCAAAGGTCTTTCGTCTCTCAGAGCTTTTATTGCATCACTTAAACATTTAAAAGAGAATATTTGCACTGCTTTTATCTTTCATAGAGTCAAATAGAGATTTAGATCTTGTGTGTGCTAACTTTTGACTGTACTGATATTTCTATGAGTAGCCTAATTTATCTTCAATGTCTTTAAATATATCTTGACCTGTAAACTGTTATATATATCTAGGCTCAAATCTGGTTGTATTTCATCTTAAACTGAATCATAAGTAGACACAATTTTACAAAGTGGTCTAGATGTACAGTCAAGCACAATTTTGTTTTAGGTTGGTCCATTTTGTTATCAAAAGATGAGTTTCAAATATAAATCTGCCAGGGGTTAAATGTTCGATTCAATTCAGTTTATTTATATAGCGCCAATTCACAACACAAGTTATCTCAAGGCATTTTACAGTTCAACCAGATCAAATAGTCAAATTGATTCAAAGTTTTCTATCTAAGAAAAAACTGTTGATTGCATCGACTCATTGACTCAAATGCAATCCCTCACACTAAGCATGCTTGTAGTGACAGTGGAGAGGAAAAATTCCCTTTTAACAAAAAGAAACCTCCAGCAGAACCAGGCTCAGTGTGAGCGGCCATCTCCCGAGGCCGACTGGGGTTCAAGGGGACAGAAGCAGAGATACAAAAAGCAGCTGTAAATTGCAGGAAACACAGAGCCAGGCAGACAAGCTCCGAGCCAACTCCCATGTCAGAGCACGAAGAAAGCACATCCAGCCAGTTACAGTCAGAGAAACAGGACTACACTGAAAAGCAGGTCGATCTCCAATATCTATAAACAAAAGTGTTGATGGCAGCAGCACAGCTGATATTTCTCTCCAGGATGGTGTCACAGCCCAACAGGATCAGATGAAGCAAAGCTACTATGAGAGAAAGCGGGGAGAGCATAACGTTAGAGATTGAACATAGTTTAACTAAATGTTAAACTGTTATGCTAACTTACAGCTATCTGGAATCTGGAATTTCATTTGAATGAAATTATTATTGTTTCACAGTTTTGTGAATTAAAACACGGTTTGGAAGATTGATGCAATGCAAATAAATATCCACTGTCACTACATACTAGTGATGAGTTTATGTTGCATGTTGCATTTACATTGTCAAACTGTATTGATACTGCATTGTTTCTGTCTTACTGAATACTGACACCCGTTGGACAATTAAGGACACTACAGGCAGCTTATTTCACAGACTAAACTTAAGTGATTTGATGACCTACAATGATATCATTTAAGATATTGTAGGTTATATTGTATTATTTCATATATATGTTTAAATTAAAATATCATTTATATTTTTAGATGCAGCCCATAAATAATGTAAACATATATCACAACATGAAAATCTAGGGGAAAATGCGAATGAGGATGCTTGTGGACCAGGATTTTAAATCATCATTTTAAAACAATAAGTACAGCAAAAACAGTAAATAAACTAAGAGTCAATTTGAAATTAACAATTAATACAGTGTTTTGCTCTATGGGATCGACGCATTAACTATGTTACACATGCACCGACGCATCGGTGTTAATGGACTACTACATACTCATCAAATAGGGGCAAGTTCGGAAAAGTCAATGCAATTACTCAATGCAGTCAGCTGGGTTTCTTTAGACAGAAAATCTTAACCCTAAGTGTCTATATGATTTGCTTGATATGTGTCATGATTTAACTAAAGATCAGACCCAAAAGCAGAAGACCAAACAGGGAGACCAGGAAAATGGTGTAACAGGTTTATTAGGAGATTGTGAAGAAAAAATTTGCTGACTCACGTTTCCAGAGAAGTTGTTGACTCATTGACTCCAGTCTGTATGCTGTTGTTCCAGTGTTTGTCTGATTCGGTGGAGGACGGAACAGGGTTTACCCACAATGCGGTATTTTGTAGGTGAACGGAGAAGCTCACTGCCACTCAGATTTCCTGCGGTACTTGAACGGGTCGTAGTGGAGATGAATCCCTTGCTCAGTGTGAAGCTCAAACAATCTCTTGGGGAAAGTAGATTCAAACCTCCAGTTTAAATCCTTAGCTCAGTTTGAAGCTCAGATGATCCTTCCAGGGAGAGAAGGTCCGAAACATCCAGTTTGCAGGATGACTTCCTGCCGAGAGGCAAAGACAAGAAAAACAAGATTAAGACTCAGGTTGACAAAAACTCAGTTTGACTAAGCAAAACTCAGCTTGGCTAGAGTACCCAAAACTGGCAAACACTCTGGCGTCGAGGTAGTGGCAGTCAGCAGCTTAAGAGCGCTCCATTAACGAGGTAATCTTCTGCAGGTGTGTGAGGAGGCGGACCAGAACCAGGTGCCTCCTGGTGGAGGAAGGGAGACAAACACAGAAACACAGTCAGGAATCCTGACAATATCATTTTGTAACGTTTAATTGCTATCAAATAATAGAATAGTCTCGTGAATTGAAGCTACTTATGTAAATTAGAACTAATTGAATGACATTACAAATGTGCATCTTTGCAGATATATCCTGTACACCTTGCGTCGTCACATGACCGCTGTGTTTATTTGACCATGCTGGATAGCATGAAAAAACCCTGCGTGCGCTGTAATAATACAATGAGATACGTATTACAGAGATGCAATACAAATAAGTGCATAATCTGCCAACCCAACATTATCAAAACATGGACATTTAAATGGGGAGTTAGAACAGCGATAAATTTCAAAAAAGTTATCTTGTTAGACTGCAGGATGCTTATAATTTGCCTGGTAGCTTGTTTTTGCGGATTAAAGACCTGCAGATCTGTCTGACATTCCCGGATTCGCTTACCACTTGTATAATTATTTTCTGTATCGCCAGTCTTAATCTTCAGGGAAAGTACTAAAGGCTTAGAAAAGTTAAGATGTCTACAACTATTTTGGGGTCAGGATGGGTGACACTTACCCTGGCAGGAGGGCGAGTAAAGCCTGGCGGCCCACTAGGCTTAATGGACGCTGGAGGAAACTGTATGCCTGTTACATGATGAAACCCTCCTCTTAGTGACAGAGGCAGTTTCCACATCTTCCTAAATTAAATAAAATCTCTACAACAATAATTTGGGTATAACAACTATCCCTTTAGGAGGTTTTCACAGCAAATTCTGCTAGATGTAGTTGGTTTCCAGCTCTGCGTCTTTACAGCAGCTACCCATTTTGCTAACTTTTTTGGGTCTTTAGGGAAGCCCTTTCTTCCCTGTCGGTTGGTACAACCATATGCAGAGCATGAGAATACCATGTTTTTGTTAATGTTTTCAAGGTAATATGAAAAAACAAATGCGATAGCTGCTGGTCCTGTTCTATGTATGAGTGTTTTGTTTTGCGATCCAAGAAGAAGTCGTCGCAGGTCACTTGATTTGCTGATCAGTTTCACATGCTCTGTAGTTAGCTGCAGCTGGCAGTAAATTCATCTTGTATTGAATAATACTGTGTTTTTTGCAGTGATGTTATACATGCATTCGTATTTGTGTATAAGATCATTTTTGATATTTTTGTTCCATTCTTCGTTTCTCAAGAAAGAGAAGAGAAAAATCTTTGTGTTTCACTACTGGACAGGACAGGTTATAATAAAAAAGAAATGTAGAATGATTCTAGGGCTTTGCGCAGTGCTACAGCTTTGCAAAGGGAATGTTATTAGGCTTAACTAAATTGTCCTAAATTGAAAGAAGATACAATGTTTTCATTCTGTGTAATTCAAAGCATCAGTGCAGATAACATTCCTCATTTGTACGTTTGACTGATTGCCATTGAACTTTTCCCTGTTTTGTTCTTACAGATATAAACATGGCAGGTGAGCCCAAGCCATACCGGCCTAAAGGTGCCTCCAAACGGCCACTCTCAGCTGTTTACAGGTGAGACGTGCTCTCCTTTCAGCATGCAAAGAGTCCATCACCATCATGAATATTAAACTGCCTTTCCAACCAGCTGCTCATGCTGGTGTAATTCTGCTCCAATATGCAAAGTATAAAGATTTGTTATTAAGATTTCCTTTTTTCCTCATTTGAACCTTGAATGTCTAATTAACAACATGTTTTGCATTTCTGAAGCCTGATTTCTGATCATAAAGCAAAAGCAGTGAAAGCTCAGTGGAATTAATATTGTGTCAGCTTCATTAAGCGACCCCGATTTTCTGCCCAGGGCATGTCTCATTTTTGTGCAAGAATCTGTGGTGTTTGTTTACTGTAGTCTAATGTGAAAAAAGACAACAACATGTTTTTTATTCAAAGAGAGGCTTGTTTTTTTCATGTGCTTTTTCAAAAGTTAACCCAGCCATTTAACTCCCTTTTATACATTTTTTTATTTATTTAAGCATCTTATTTAACTCCTTTATCAGCTCAGCAACTGTGTTACCATGGAGCCTTTTTTGTATTTTGTTGCTGCAAGCACAATGTGAAATGGTAAAGTTATAGAGCAAGAGAGAGAGATTTCTCCAAACTGAAATAATGACTTATAAATCCTAATTAAAATTTGTTTAAGAAAAGCTAGACTTGATAGCATGTCTTTGTTCCTTTTGTTTTTGTGTCTTTTTGTATTTCATTTCAGTTGCCATCCCAGAGTTTCTGAACACTTTTTCAATAGCTTGATTTTGTTTATTTTTTTTTATTTTTTTCATTTTCTAGACTTTCCTTGCCTCTAGAGCTTCTGTTCTGTTGTTTGTTGATTACTGGTTACGAAATGCGATAGCATGAAACTTTTGAATCATGCATTCCAACATACCTCACAATGAAATAGAGTACTATAAAAGTAAATTTAAAAGAATATATTATATAAAAAGAGAATAAAAAACATATTCATCCACCTCAAAATTTGTGTATTTAACATATTTGAAAATATTTGATACAAATTTTGACATGATTAAAAACTTAAACCAGAGGAAGGAATACGGCACAAAATCGGTGTTAAACGTTTCTTATTTTCAATGTCATTATATAATATTGTTTCACCAGTTAGATTTATCACCTCATCGCTATTCATCTTTTATACAGCCACTGGAAACAGAAATGTAGTTTAATCCAACTTCAGGCGACCGGGAGATCGGGATTTTACCACACTATGATCTTTAACACGCTGGTGTTCATGGGAAATGTTGTCTTCTTTCAGGCAAAACAATACAGAAAAAATTGTTTAGTACTGCTTTAAGGAAATGAATGTCCCCCAGAACACTTCAGCATGCTTTTATTATTGTTGATTTGAAAGTGCACAGCATGTACAGTCAAAAAGACACTGCAGAAATCTAACTTTTATCACTGGTGTGCTCTGAAGAAATCATTGCCCCTAAATAAAAACTTAACTGCAGGGGGGCGGTTTCCAGGTGGCATGGAGACAAAAATTATTTTTAGATCATTCTCAGCAGTCAGATGTTTTTTAAAAGTGATTTACACTCTAACAGAGGACATGCTTATGCATAAAATAAATACAACATAGGTCAACAAGCTGACCATCAAAGAATCTACAAAAAAATCTGTTGTTTATTATACAGGGCTGAAAGAAATTGTCTAAAAACTGTATCTTAATAAAAAAAAAAAAATCTAATTCAGCTAGAAGAACTTTATCCTGCAACATGACAATGATCTCAGAATCTTAGATCTCTTTGAAAAATTGGTGACTTAAAATGATCCGTACAGGTGAAAAGGGTTGGAAGTGAATAGTAGCATAAACTGTCCTTAGACTAATGTCAGAACTGCTTACAGGTAGCATCTCACTGCAGTTATAATAGCCAGGTAATTTCAACACCATTTTATAGGTTTTGATCTCTTGTTGGCTTTTCAGTAAGAAACCATTTTTTTTGTTATACTGTCATTTTACTAATAGTTTTTTGTTCTGTGTTTTACTCTGCTGCTATAGCCTTACGCTGCTGCTGCACATTGGGAAAACTTTTCCTCATTCTTTTTCATTCTATCCATATTCTCCCATTCTGTCGTATTTGTTAGTTCAAACTTTAACTTTGTGTTCTCTCTGCTTTTTTGTATTATGGTAGCTTCAGCTGGTTCCTGCTTAGGAGTGACACCATCCTGGAGAGAAATTTCAGTTGGACTGTTTTCAGTGTTTAGTCCTGTTTCTATCGTAGACCTAGTCATGGGCCCAATTTTTATTGTGGCTAATTTGTCTGCTTAACTCTTTCCTATACAGAAACATCTTCTGAGCTATTTTACCATTACCTTTTCTAACAGAGATAATTAATAAATCATCGCTTTATGTTCCTTTTCTATATCTAGTTCTGTCTCTTGAAACCCCTAGTTTCCTTGGCAGATGGCCGCTCACAATGAATCTGGTTCTACTGGAGATTTCCTTCTTTTAAAATTAGCTTTTTCCTCCCCACTGTCGCTGCATATAAGCTCGGTGTGAGGGATTGCTATAAAGTCAATTAACTAATTCAAAGCAGGTTTTAGACAGGAAACGTTGAACCAATCTGGCTGTATAATATGATTGAATTCTCTGTCAAGTGCCTTGAGATGACATGTGTTGTTGGCAATATAATAATAACTTTAATTTAATCATATATTGTGATTTCTGGATATTTTTTTTTTTAGAGTATGTTTCTGATGGTGCAAAACAGCAGGGTCTTCAAATATTTATTTCCCTGACTGTATCTGACAATCATTACAGGACTTTAGATATTTAACACACTGTGTTTTTTTATGTGTACTTTCTCTTATCTTTTTTAAATATGCCTTACAGCAAATTAAAATCAAAGTAATTTTAGTGATATCTCATACAAGCTTTTCCTCCTTGTTTTTGTCTCTCTTTTTATATTTCCTGTAGTGGTTATGAATTTGATTACGAATACTACAGGGATGATTTCTACAGCAGGTATGTATCATCCTTTAAACTGTTGTATTATTTTTCTTTTATTCTAAGATTGTTATTGACTGTAACCCTGGCTCATACAACCTAGTTTGATGCTGGATGTCGGGTAATGTTGAAAAACAGTAAAAAGAATTGTTAATAACAACAGACTTTGATCCTATTTACTAATGCTTTTAAAGTACTACATGACAGTGAAATAAATATTTCACTGTCAATATTTCTATTTGAGACAAAACAGGGCGGGGGGTTCCATATATCTGAATAAATAGGAGACTGGTAACACATACTGTACACTAATGGAAAAAATTTAATCCAAGAGAAGAATTTACGCAAAATGTTACATGGTTTTCAACATTTTGTTCAAGCAAAGAATCTAAAAAGGTCAAGTAGGATAACAGCTTAAAATTTCTATATGCCTCCATCAGCTTTGCACATCCAGAGACTTTTTTTCTACACTAAAGCTCAAACTTTGTTGACTTGGATGAGGTATCAATTTACTAGTCTTATCACAGATTTGATATAGATTTGGATGTTGGATCTCCTTTAAATTTTGGTTCTTCTGTCTTTGTCTGACCTCTGACGTGTTAGTTTTAGTTCACGTTCTCCTCTTATGGAGGTGTAATGGAAAATCTTTGATTCTGACAACGGTCATCTTTTCAAGTTTTGCACATGTTTGGAATTATTTTAACCTGAAAATATTCAACATGACTATGTGCTGACTTCGATGGACTGGCGACCTCTCCAGGGTGTACCCCGCCTCTCGCCCATTGACTGTCCCCAATTGGGACAAGTGTATGGATGGATGGATGGATGGATGGATGGATGGATGGATGGATGGATGGATGGATGGATGGATGGATGGACTATGTGCTGAATTAGAATATGGTTCTCTATTTTAACCTTTCTGTATTTCCAGGGTATGCTATTTGCAAGATTAGTTTGGTGTTTTACTCCTGATTTTAAGCATAATATAAATATAATGAACCTTATATTTCCATGTGTACTGTGGCACCCATTATTTCTGGGTAACTTTGGATTTGTTCCATTGTCTTTTCCTTTTTTTTTCCTTCATTTAATGAGCAGAATAGTGCTCTTTAAGATGCTCAGAGCTAGAATAGGATTTTTTTTTAACCTAACTCACCATCTCCTGTCTGCAGCTTTTCTCGGTTGTCCATTTTCTAATTATTTCTAGAAAACCTCTAAAGCCTACTCAGAACAGTTGGCTTAATACTGAGACTAAATTACTAAAGGTGGACAAGTTACAATGGGTTTCATTTTGGGTATAGACCTTTCTATGGTCAACACTAAATAACATTGATCAATTGAGAGGGAAACATTTGTTCAAATAGAAAATCTTTAGATTTGCATCAGGCTCATTAAAATTCTCTGTCTGATCAAATGCAGCCAGTTGAAAACAGCAACTGACAGCTTATCACAATGGTCGGACTTGTAAGACTTAAACACATGCCAGACTTAAACATGCTGATGAAGGAATGTTTGTTTTCGCTCTCATTTATCCAGAGGCAATCAAAGTGCTTATCTGTGGAGGCATTTTCCATTTTCTAAATGTCAAACGTGTTGAGGTTGAGCTGCGACACCATTTGTAACTGAGAACAATCAAAGCTGACGCCCTCATTTAACATTTAGCAGCCCCCTTGTTTCATGCTCCTCATACTAAGAGGATCTGTGATGGGAGAACCTTTTTATCTTTTCATGAGTCTGGTGAACTTTACAGAAAAAAAGGGGATTATTGGTGAATTAAATTGGAAATTTTTGCATTTTGTATCTCTTTGCCATCTGAAAAAAGAACCTAGACGTAAATGTATCTTGAAATACAATACTGGGGAAAAAAGATAGTATCTTCTCTAAAAAGAGCTGATGTAAGATAAACCGTAAAAACCCTTTTTAGCTTTAATAAATGGCCAAATTCTCAGCGTGATAGAGGCTCTTTTGACCTACAAAAGAAAATGTAATAATACAGGTTTTCCTTTCTCTCAAGGCTTTTTGATTACCACGGCAGAGTGGCCCCCCCACCCAGAGCTGTGATCCCCCTGAAGCGCTCCAGGGTGCTCGCTCCTTCCTCTCGCCGTGGGAAAACTTCCTTCCCTGTCAAAACATCCTCCTCCTCCTCCTCTTCATCCTCCAGACCTCCGACATCGTCCTCTTCCACCTCAGGTGTCAAATGTACGTACAGAAAGATATTTTTCTACAAATTTCTTAACACCAATTGCACTTACGCTTTTTGCAATCTGCAGCTCAGGACAGAAATGCAGAGTCGGATTAAATCGATGTCCTATATAAATAAGTGTTGTTGGGCGTTGCTTTTGCTGTCAGAACACATGCTTCTGGATCTCATTTGCTTCGCTGATTAACTCGATATTTGTTAAAACATAGTAGATGTAATTAGAACAAGATTGAGAAAAATCTCTGTGGGTCAGCTGTGTTTTCCTAAGCATTAGTCTCTTTCTGTCTGGTGTAATTGGTTATAGCATTTGTTTCACTGTTGGCTCTGTCGGCTGGTGTTATCAGTGTAAGCAGCTTGGTAAGGTCTGTCAGGAGGACCCAGCTGCAGCTGGTATTACAGCGAGGATAGAGGGAAAAAAGCCAATCTCCTGTCCTAGTTTTTGGAAAGAGTCAATAAATTCTCTGCTGTGTCTAAGCTGAGCTTCTGTATGTTGGGAAAACTAATTTTCCCAGACCGTGAAAAAAATCCCAGTCCGTATCAACTTTAGCTGAGAGAGATTGGACAGACAAATGCATTTAGAATATCAAATAAAGCTGTTAGAAAAGTCTAGTTAAAATGCCACTTTAGAAAACAACTAAGATATTGAAGTGATATCTGATCAACTGAGAAATAGCTGCTACCATATCAGGTAGTTTTTATGTATTTCTCTATTATGAAGAGGTGTGTGCCATGAAAGTATGTATTAATAATCAATTTGTACCTTTGGAATCCCTTAATACTAAACATTTAACATTAACCCTATTTTTCACATTCACCTTTTGCAGAATATAACCAGTATCCCTCAAAGAGAATATTTGTTTGTCATAACAAGGTCAAAAAAAGACTATAATTAGACCTATTACTCATCCCCTAAATCTTTCTTAAGCTAAATAACAACAGCATTTTCTGTATCCTTTCCCTGAAAGCACAGCTATCTAAGATGCAGTTGATGAATCATTGGCTAGATATGTTTCCTCTCAGCAGCTTAGCAGTCGATAACACAAAAGGAAAGAGGCCTGGAGGTCCAGATAAATTAAAAACTGTTCCACTCTTTCTTATCATCAAAGGACTCCCAGTGAGCAGCCCAGCGCCAGCGGAGATACTGCTGGAATATTGCTGGACTTATGAAGAGAGCGTATTCACAGATAGTGTTTTGAATAAATGGGGGCAGGTGATGCAGAGGAGATAGAAACACACAACCCCCCACTCACTCCGCACCCCAACTGAGATATGATTATATACCTTCTGTCTTTACGCTTTTCTCTTTCATTTAAAGTAGATAGTAGCTTTAGAACAACGCTGTGAGAACACATCCTGTGGTTTCTTATCACTTACCCTTGGATTCTAATCATTGTATCTATACTTGCTGCTTTTTCTTTTTTTTTGGTTTTACACAAGACATCCCAATCCTTCACTTTAGCTTTGCTTAAAAAAAAGGTCCTTTATTGACAAATATCATACAGAATGAACTGGCTCCTGCTGGAGTGGCTGGTTTGTTTTTCAGCATGAACACTGGAGAAAGATTAAGATGTGTTTTTGGAGGAAATTAGGTAACAACAAGGTCATATTTTGTCTTTTTTAAAGGGCTTATGTTTCATTCATGATTTGTTTTTGATTGCGCAGACTTCAGAGAGCACGATTTATTGTAATATGTGGGTGTACATGTAGATGAAAGGATCTAACATACAGGAGCACATGCAGACTTGATAACAAATTGTGTATTTTCATTTTATTTCATGCATGTCTCTGCCTTCTGATTTCCAGCTGAACCTTTGCAGGAAGTCGTGAGTTTGTTTCCAGATTGAATCTGATTGGCATCAAGAATTTCTGTTTTCCTCTCAACTTTTTTATCATCTGTATTTCTGTCCTCCTCCTAAAATATGACACACTCCATCCACTTAGGGGTAGAGTAATAAGATTATATTATTACCTCATGGTCTGAGCTCTTTAATCTGCTCAGCTTAAGACATCCTCGATTCAGCTGTCAAAAATCATAGCGGCAGCTCCTCTGATAAGTACTTTGATTTTCTGCTGTTATTTCCTACTTCCTTATAACACGTCAAGATTAAGTCTAAAAGTTTGACATTATCCAGTTATGGTTCAGTCCTACACATCAGATTCTATATGAACTGTTAAGAGCCAGTGTGTGAGCAAAGCAACGCAGGAAGTAGAAAGCAAATTATTCAAAAGCCTGTAAACAGACGCTGTGGGGGGTAGGATTACGCGGCTGCTTTCCATGTCGAAATATGCAAAAATGCATACATGCATACCGTACATCTCTGAGTATTAAACTTTAGGGATTTAAGGGCACTTTTACCCATTCAGAAATTTGTTTTGCTGATGAGGTGCTACTCACTGACAAGGAAGCACACAATTAAAAAACAATGTCAGTGGGCGTGCTTTGGTGGCACGGTGGTTAGTGCACACGGCCCATGTATGAAGGCCTTAGTCCTCGATGTGGGCGAGCCAGCCTGTGGTCCTTTCACACACGTCTCTCCCCCTCTCTCATTCCCCCTTTCCTGTCAGCCTACTGTCCATAAAAATTAGCCACTAGTGCTGCAAAAACTTAAAAAAACTGAGTATTATAAAGTAATTTTCACTTTCTGTAGGAGATATTCAGCTCACACTTGAGGTCCTGAGTGATGATGGTTCTCAGGTAGTGATTCTGCAGTGGTCTCCGATGATCAGTCCCCCACCTGTAGGCAAACTCATCCCGCTCAAAGATGAACCAAATGAAGGTGGTGTCAGCTATAATGGTTCTACTTTTGACTAAATTACATCATACCGTAGGACAGTGATTCCCACCCAGGGGTACTAGTACCCCTTATGGTCCACCAATGCATTGCAAGGGGTATGTGAAAACATTTAATATTTTACTTTCCATGTAAAGAAATACAATAAAAGAGGGCTGGGATGGGTTTTTTATTACATAGTGAATCTGAATATTCTTTACTTGTTTTGTTTGTTTTATATGCTAAGTTTAGATATGTTTACAGGGGACTTATTCAGAAGAGCTTTGGTTTTTGTTAAAAAAAAACATAGATTTGTAACTTACGGTAATTTGATTTATGTTCATATTAGTACCTATTTTCTTTACAGGCAATATATTTATGTTTTTTTTTATTCTAATACAAAAAAAAATATGTCTGAGCATTAAAATGTTCAAGTTAATGAAATTAAAGAAATATTTTTCCTTTTATAATCAGTTGTTCTCTCTATTTCTGGATAATAACACGTTTGACCGAGAGGGAACTCATGGTATGATAAAATGGCCAAGGGGGTACACAAGTCAAAAAGGATGGGAACCACTATTGTAAGACACCAAATCCTTATTCGAAAAAACACAAAACTTAACCTTTTTTTATGTTTTTTTTTTAGATATAACAGTAAAGACTAATAAAGATATGCAGTTATGCTGTCATATATTGTTCTTTTGTCAGTGTCAGTTTGTATCAACATTTTCTTAGCTGTAGCCCAGAAGAATAATTACCACAATATGTATCACTACTGTATCTCTAACAACATCCATTCTGCTTAATTTCTGGTTTTAAACACATGCTATGGAAAATTTTAAAGAAATTAATAAAAAATTTTGAGCTAAGCTGTAAATAAGATAACAGTGATTATCAAGTAGACCACAAAACTGTGATCCTAAAGGACTGCTTAGAAGCAGTATTTGTGGGTAAGGATTTTATTGTTTGCATACAAGGATTGGTGGGGCAAAACAAAGAAAAGCGACCACAAAATGAGGGGTTACTTTAATCTATTTTTTTTTATCAACATTTTCACCTTAAGTATTTCAATAAACAATTTTCCTGAAATTGTGTATCCCACAAGATATGAGCAAGAGGCTTGTTAACCTCCACAAAAATATGCTTTTCAGTGCCGTTATGCCTCCGAACAGCTCAGGAGGAAGTCTGGTTATACCGTGTTTGGGGTCAAAATCAGTGTATCAATCCCAGAACACAAGCAGAAGATCTGTTGAAGATGATGGTAAGAGGGAGTGTCATTATCCACAGAGAGAGAAGGGTCTAGTACTGACATGAAAGGCTGCTCTGCATGAAAACAGCCATTATGCCAAAATAAAAGTAACACGAAAAGCCAGATTACAGTATGTAGATGCACACTGGAACAGTCCCTAAAATGGAGACAAATCCTGTGGTTTGATGAAACTAAGATTGAGTTGTTGGCACTTGACCATAATCACCATATATTTGGAGGAAAGAAAAAACGTAATAAAAAACACTAGACCATATGTTACCCTTTAATATATGGCTACCAAATACTAAGGAACCAAACATTTTAAAGAAAAATGCAAATGTCTGATTTAAAGTCAGATGGAGGAAAACAGTAATTTGTCGATTTACACACATAGCACTTTAAAAACATTGTGGTTTCAAATGTAGGTAATGGTTCCGAAGACAGAATTTTTTGTCAAATCGACATTTTAAAGGTTCACCCCATGCTTTAGGAGTGTGCAAATGTTTTACTGTAAAACCCAGTTTTTTCCAGATGTTGGCACTGCCTGTGAGAAAACATGAAGAAGCAGTGCACAGCATGGTGGGCGTAAGCTGTGCACTAATCTTTAAATTGAAAAACAGCACGTCCTCAGTCTAAGCTGGATAACTCGTCACTATAGGCCTGATTGAAAGGCTCTTCCCCGAGGAAGATTTAACTAAGTGTCATGAAGGGATTCCTGGGAAACATCAAACACTTGATGCATAATTGAAATGACTGCATAAACTGAAGTAGAACAAACCAGCAAAGACTACCTCTTTGTGTTTCCTTGTGTTTACAGTGAAGACGGACCAGCTCCAGACGATTAAACGAGAACTGACCCAGATAAAAATGAAGATCGACTCTTTACTGGGACGTCTGGAAAAGATCGAGAAGCAGCAGAGGACCGAATCTGGTGAGAACAGGAACACAGTCTGACTCAGACAACAGTACAGAGGCGGGGGGGGGGGGGAGAGAAACACACTGAGCAGCTAAAAAAAAAAACGGAAATTAAAAAGCTCACATAGGCCATAAGTCTTTTTGACATTTTTAGAGATAAGGGCGGCTGAGCTCTCCGTCATATCAGCAGACAGGTGTCAGCACCACACTGACTCTGTTTAAATGAGGTCTTCATAGTAGCCCTACACTGTGGGACAACCTCACAACAGATCACTGTGAAGGTCATTCAGGAAAGGCACTGAATGTGGCATGGGATTTTTTTTCCACCAAGCATTTTGCTTATTTCAAGCTTGTTCCATCTATATTGTCCAACTTACATCCACAACAAATAAGCTGTCCTGTTTGTTTTATTTCAAGGTAGCCCAAAGACTGATATGCAGGACATGGAAACACAGATAATTGAAACACTGCCAGTTCAGGTAAATTACATCATTCCAGGGGCTGATCTCAGGGGAGAAAGGAGCAGTCACATTGATTAGTAAGGCCGGTCGAACATGGATAAATGAAGAGATTAATGAAACAAAGACCAGACTACGGCTTTGCTATATTCGCTGGTATGAGTGGGTAAAAAGTAGTTTTAATATATTTTTATTGAGAAAATCTACCTCAAAACATCATCTGTACAGTCAGTTCATCAAGATTATGATCCTGCCTTAAAATATTATTTCACTGTCAGAGCCGCTCAGATCCCCACATACCAGTGGTGTGCTGTCACTGGGAATCCCCAGCAGCTGCTGCCTCAGACCAGGTTGCCTCTTGGGGGTCTGTCCCCTACTGTTCGTGGTGGTTGGAAGTAGATGTTGGCATTTTTCAGGTATATGGAACAAACTGCAAGCACCAGAATAATAAAAGCGAAAAAATTTTGCTGGCAGCTTTCGACATTTTAAGTTAATTTAGGTGTTAATAAACTGAGGAATGATCATAGCGATTGGTTGATGTGGTGTGTAGAGCAACATAAATTTTATTTTTCCAACTCCAGCAACTGCTGTTTATGAAATTTTGAACATTTGAGCAAAGTTTCCGGGGGGGAATTTAAGGCATACCAAAGCTATAATTCCCAAAAACAGGGCGTACACACAAGCCTGTTAAACTTAGGGGTTCTATTATAATTGCCCTGGATAATTTAATTACAGTAAACTTACTTAAATCTGGCCTTTCTGGACTGCCATGATACATGTGTTACTACTCTAAGCTGATCTCTAAGCTATTTGTTGTAAATAATTATACACCATTTCTAATCATTTGAACAACTCCAAGGGCACCACCAACCGACTACCCCAGAGACGTCTTGTCTTGCCCTAATAGCAGAACCTGACATGGTGTTCTCTTCCTCATCTCCTCATATTCTGTGTTCTGGTTTAACATAAAATGCTGCACAGTGTTTGTTGCATTGTCAAAACTCCTTATGATCTTTTCAAAAATATTTTAAACAGCATTTTTGCTGTTTTATGGAGTTTAAATAGCTCTACTCATAACTTCCATTGCATTGTTTCTGAGTGGCTAAAAAAGGAGCAGAGAGAATTATCTTTAATTGGGGTGTAAATCACCAGCTCTGTTTCAATACAATGTTATATCGATTTGTCTGGATGTTGTGCACAAACTGTGTCACAATACAAATTAAATTCCCAAGTCTGCAATCTATATGATTAAACTTCATCTCGCCATCTATCGCCCCCCAAAAAATTCTCTAATATGATCTAACCTCTTATAGGCAACAGGTATTAAAAAAAACAGCATTTTTTATTGCATTGCATTGCAACATTTCTGAATCCTCTTAACCTTCTCAGTAGTTTGTAGATCTTACTCATAAGACAGTTTAATAATAGCAGCGTCATTTAAAGTACTGAACAAATGATTAGTTTGATTGAATGCATAAAACATTACATATTACAACACATACAGAAGTGTAATTTAAAAGCAAAAGTATCATCTAAGTATCTGATGCATTACAAAATGTTTCAAAAAGAAAAGAGAGCTGCGAATAAATCAAAAGCTTGTATTGAGGGCTGAGTTTTCAGTGCACATTTAAAAGTGGCAAATGAAGAGGCAGCAACAGCTGGTTAGTTCATCTGTAGGCGCAGTAGTTGATAGAGGTGGGGAGGGATAGAGATATACATAGAGAAATTAGAGTAATAAACTCCAAAACTGGAGAGGCAACCAGTGCAGAGGGAAAAAATTGAAGTAATATTCCCTTTAATACATGCAACAGCAACATTTTGCAAAATATAAAGGAAAAAGAAGAGTAAGTTTATTTATATTGCACATTTCAGTGGCAAGAAAATTCAAAGTGATGTACCTAAAAAAAAAAGAAAACTACACTGCAGTGCCATAAAGGCAACACAAATAATGGCAGATAATATGAGTGAATTATCAGAATAAGATTATTATGAAAGATTATTATATTAAAACGATAAATAATTGATAAAACTTAACTAATAATGTTGAGGAACTGGTAAGACTGTAGAACTGGGGTGAAGTTTCCACCTTCTTGGTTTTGGTAATGATAATAATAATTGAACCTAATCGACTTCACAATAGAGAAATTGCCTTCTGCATCTTAACCCATACCTTTAGAGAGCAGTGGCCTGCCACTGTGCGTCGCCCATGGAGCAGTGTGGGGTTAAGGGTTTTGCTCAGTACGTATTAAGTGCAGAAAAAAAAGCAGAGGCCTGAGAATTTAGCCCTGCAGGATGTAAAACAAAAAATAAATAATGGAGGATCTGCAAACACTTGGTCCAGCACAAAGCATTCTTTCAGTCAGGCACTTATCTGAACCTTTCTGCATAAGTAGAACATCAGAATGTTATGGTGCACTGTTGCAAAATCTAACTGAGCAGGGCTTGCATTGCTATTTGAATTCTTCAGCTATAGGGGTCTCATTAAAACTCTCAACAATGCAGATTATGTGCTATGAAGATGTTAATTAGATGTTAATAAGAACTCAGACAGAACATTTCAAGAACCTTATTTTTCTCCAGAAATGCTTTCAAGTGGTTGAACTATTCTCTCCAAACAAAACTGGGTTTGAGGCTATAATTTTGATCAGTACTGTTCAGCCTGTTTGAGCATTTTAGAAACCAGACTAGAGCCGATATAAACCTGTTAATAAGAGCAAGAACAGATAAAACCAATCAAGTTTAAACAGTCGGGGGAACCTAAAGAGCTTTAGATAACCTCCGGCCTGATATAGGAAATATAAGGTAGGAGACTCCAAGAAGTAGAAAGCAGCAAAACAAGAAACAAGGACTAAAGGGTAAAAAAGTAGAGAGTGTTATACAGTAGGAAGCCTGACTTTCTCATCTTTTCCTCAAAAGAGGTTCTCAGATGTCTCACATACCTTGGGGGAAGGCTGAGTATAACAATTTAAAGAACATTTAGAATAAAAAAAAACATTATACCTGTAATCTTTTTTCAAGACATATAGTTATATATATGGTCGCCTGTGGTAACACCAATAGCCCTGCAAAAACATATAAAATGTTATTGTTCAGCATCCATATCTCACCATACAATGCTTTATTTTTTATGCTATGTAGTTTTAGCCACTGGAGAATTATGCATTTCTTCTTAAATCTCAAAACTGTACAGCAGGTGATGGACTGAAAACTTTGCTTTGCACAGAAGGTTTAATAAAACTGCTGGAAAAAGATCAGCAAACCTCATGAAATTTGAAACAGGCCATATAAAACATGTTCTTGTGTGTTGTCACATACTTGTATAGGTCCAGATGCAATTACATATAAACAGTCCTCAACCATCGGTTTATCAGTACAACACATACTGTATATTAAAATCTCCAAGAATAAGAACTTAAAAGGATATGGGCATGATTTATGCCTCCTATACTAAAAAGTAATGTATGATGCCCAGATTTACCCCTTGTTGGCAGGGATGAAGAGAGTAGAAGTTGGCTGTAAAAACTCCTCTGAGCAGTGGAAGCAGAATCAACCAAGTTTATGGAAGCCAGGGAAGGAAAGGTTCAAATATTTTCATCTGCAGTCAACATGTGAAAAAGGTGTTTCAATCAAGCCGACTGCTGCATTTACCTGAGCTGTGACTCTACCCAGGCGTATCAAACAAGAAGGAAAAGCCTTTTCTCTATAATCAGTCATTGACCTGGCAGAGATTTGTAACACAAACTGCTCAGTGCAAACAGAGCAAGCAATGACATATAGGAAGCCATACACATCGGCACCATCTTAAATAATTTAACTAATCTTCAAATAGAAAGCTTCATTAAAATTGGATACCACTCATAGTTCTTCTAAATCCCATTTAGACAGTGTGCTTGTGACTTCTCTGCTGCTTCTCTCTGAACAAAAGAAATGTGCACTCATTCTCTGTGCTGTGCTTCGTTTCAGAGGCTCAACGAAAATACGATGACAACTGTGACTCCCTGCATGAGGGGTCTGTGTCAGAGACTGCAGAAAACTCTGGAGAGGAGGCAGGCGAGGGAGGGCTAGACGTGGAGGCAGGCGAGATGACCGATGGAGGCGAGGATGACTATGACGAGGAGGGCAACCACCATCTGGTAAGTGGAAAAAGGTCGACAGGGCTGATGCACTTTGGGAGATCTCAACTAGGCACAGCCTTCCCTGTCTGAAAGCTAATCTTCCAGAATTATTCATGAGCACATTTCTGACAGATCAGGGCTTTGCATGAGTAAATGACAAGGCCACCCAGCCTGACACTTTATCCTAGTGTACCCTGGCTTAAACCAAGGAAGAAAGGCTTTCACGCTATGCCTTTGGTGGGTGCTAAAAAAGAAGTGTCCCTTACATATGCATAGCCTGATATGAACTAGATTTGCAATAAAGTGGTTGTTGAAGAACAGCAGAATTGGATTTCTCCCACAACGCTGATGACTGAAAAGCCAAAACTCAAAAGTTTGTTTTTAGTGTTACATTTTTAGATTCTCTGAATGCTTCATAAAAACATGTTGTCCAAAAAAATATGGTCATACTTAGAGTAGCTCAGTTTAAAACCTGTGTAAAAAGGAAAGATTAAGCTATAACACTGCTTGTCTATAACACATTTTTCTTTCACACTTTAAACTCTTGACCGTGTTTGTGTTCTTATATAGTTTGTGCTTCCCATTACAGAGGAAGAAAAACTGTTGAATCTCACATTGTGGAAAACAGAAAATTAAATCAATCAATAACTTCAGAGAAGAAGCAGGTTTCATCAGTCTTTTCTCTAATGTGATTGTTCTTTCAAAGCTAGTATCGACTGAATTCACTGAACCATTTGATCCCAGTGAGCTTGTGCTCCAATGCTCATTTGTCACAACATTGATTCCAAAGGCAAACTGCAAATACAGAAACCAATTTCGATGTGTTTTTTCTAACCAAAACTAAACCTGCAGTTTTGCTCAGTTTTCTTTAAATGTTTTTCATTAAAATTACATATTTTTTAACTTGTTTTACAAGGTTACAGGTTTGCAGGCAATATTAAAATATGTGTGTGGGGTGGTGTGCATGATTTTGTCTGTCACATATTTACTGCCTTGTGGAACGAATTTCACAGGAATACTGTATGCTACATTCTGAGGACTTAAAGGTAATTGAGAGTCCCATTAAAAAAAAAATGTTCTCCCACAAGGATTTATTCATAAAATTAAAAGAGATGAGATGAAAGTCTGGGCAAATTATCATTAAAGGAAAAGTCCGCTCAACAAGGAATAACAGGTCAGTACTTATACCTAAAACTAATGTTTGGGGAAATTTAATGGATTTTGCGTTAATTGGTAAAAAAAATAAAAACAGTATTTCACTGAGTCTTGCAGTGGCAATTATTTTTCCAAATATAGTAACACCTCACTCCTGACATCTTCCGGCAGTGACGTCAAGGTGCGGTAAGCCTAGCGCCATTCTCAAAGTCAATGGGAACTAATAGACACCTGTCATGAACGGCGGACAGATGGACCCAGTATTCAAGGAGAGAGAGTCAGTAGGAAAGTTCAAAACGTTTATTAAATAAACAAAACAAAACAAAAGCGGAGCTGTGGCTCGCGGACACTGCAGGCGGGGGGGCGGGGCACCGCCCAATCTCAGACATTCTGTAGTGAGAGAAACACAGGTAAGTGACCACGATCATCGGACAGAAGATGATTATCTGAATTGGTCACTTACCTAACAGTCCAGACCAAGAATGTCCCCAAGTGCTGCAGTCCCAGAGGTCATGCTGGAAGCCGATCCTGGTCAGGAATCCAGAACAGACAGGAACAGACAGAACAGGCAGGATCCAGATCAGGCAGGAACAGAAACAGGTGGCAGGATCCAGACTTCCAGGCATCCACAGGCTCCCATGAGGGTTCAGAGTCTGACTGGGACCAGAAGCATGACAAAGTGGTCACGCACAGGAGCAGACAGGATAAGGTACAGCCAGGCAGGCTCAGTGGAAGAGGGTAGCCGAGACAGGACATGGAACCGGAACTTGAAGCAGGACTTTAAACTGGTCTCCTCCCTGGAGCCAGGCTTACTGGAAAAAACTGAACCTCCCCACATATTGAGCCAAAAACCCAGAGGACTCCGCGGGGGAGGAACAGTGGACGATCAGGAGACAAGACGAACACAAAAACCCTCTCTCCACTGGCTGCTAGGATCCAGGACAGGAACCATGAAATCAAACTGAACAGATAGAATAACAGAAAGACAAGTAATGATCTGGCCCTGAATGCTCAGGCTGAACAGAATTATAAACCCGAGGAAACAGGTGAGGGGAATAAATTGTAATTGAGGCAGGGAGGGAAAACGGCAGGTGAGAGGAATTACTAATTCGGGAGGAGCAAACAAGCCAGATCATGACAGACACCCCTGCAATCAACAAAAATTATTTAAGATTTCGAGAGGACTTCACCATTGAAATCTACGAGAGCTATACTGTAGTTAGACTGACAATTCCCACATGCATGGCAGTTGGATGTTGTAATACATCGGGTAAAAGTGAAAAAAAAAATGTTATTTCACCTTTCCAATTCATGATCCACCACGGGTTCGTCGTTGAGTTGCCAACTTGAAGAGGGAGGATTTGCCATCGAGCTTCTGTCTAGAGAAACAGCACGTCATTAACCCATTACTCTTTGCTTCACACCATCATGTATAATAGCGTGTAGTGAAAAACAACAGATACAAAACTGGGACTTGCTCAACAGCCGATAACGCATCGTGATGTCACAAACCGGTAGGTGGCAGTAGTGTTCTTTGACAAACATGGACGTCTCCAGTAAGGAACATTCAAATGAAAATTACTCTTAATTAAAAACTCTTATCATTAATTGAACAGTGTGTAGTAATTTCATATTTAAAATACTTTCAGAAGTTTGTATTCTGAATGCGAATGACTTTTCCTTTAACATCTGTGTTTCCTATAATCTGGGCACCAGTGAGGTATTATGACTTTGCTGGTTTCTCTGCCAGTAGCTCACTCTGGTTGCATACAAACACTTTCCTGTTAAATAGTGGTGCCCTGTTGGCTTGCTGTTTATTATGTGTTTTAAATTGTGTTTGTCCTCCATTTGTTAGTCAAATGGACTAAAAAGTCAAATCAAAAAAAGAAGGTTGGACTTTAGCTCATATTGTGCAACTAGAAACCTACATTTATGCCTTTTACTTAATTGAATATCATCTGTTTTCCTGACATCATACATACTAACCAAATGGAATGCTCTGAGACAAATTATTGAAAGTGTGGCCCACTCAAGCCCTTGCCTGAAACCATTGGGCCAATTGGACCACCAGCATTGAGTCTTATTGTTTCAGGCAACAATTAAATTTTAAGACCACTAGATTTGATATCCTCTAGGAAATCTAGTTTGCAGCTAGAAAGAACTTACCTCTGGTGTGACCTCAGTCTGAGCTCTAACTCCCATGACAAATTGAATTCAACATCATACATGTGGAAGTCATTGTCTGTGTTTCAAAATGAAGCACACCCATATGGAACCTTTTGTACAAACCATGCGAGAGTTGGTTCTAACTGCAATGCTTGTCCTTATGCAGTAATTTTCTTTCTCTTTTTTCTGTGGCTCTTGACAATCACAAAAGAGGAAACATACAACAATAGTATCTGGGTCGGCTTCAAAAGGCTGTTAGATAAATGCAGTGGATAAATAAAATTGTAATGATCCAGAGTGCAAGGTGACCTGTTGTTCTTTACTTGTGTCCATCAAGATAGCTGATGAAATTTTGCATTTGACATTATTTAAATCTCTATAGATTAAGTAGAAAATTACAGCTCTGAACTAATTGTGGTTTCTGACTTACAGGTGTTTGAACTGAAATGGAGCGTGTTGAGTGTCGAGCAGTGATCCGTTTTTTCTATTGGACTCACACCACGGGAGACTTTTGACGAAAATAAATTAAGTTATGGTGATGATGCCCGTTATATGACCTTGAAAAATGTTTTACAAGGTTATATCATGGGACATTATCACTATAAGATACTTTCATTTGATCAAAAGTCTCCCATTGTGTGGGTCCTTTCAAATGCAAAATTCAGACTTGACTCAGTTTTAACACCAGTAAATCAGAAACCACTATTAGTTCAGAACTGTAATTTGCTATTTAATCTATAGAGATTTAAAATACTTCACATGCAAAATTTCAGCTCGATCAAACATCTGGAAGTGGACCAGGGGCATTAGTTATTGAACACCCCTTGTACTGTATATATGTAAACTATTTTAAGAAGTGATTTTATTAGTTTAAATTTACTGAATACAAAGTGTATATTTTAATGTGAAAGGTTTCCCTACTTCTCTGTTTAATAAGGTATTTTTTACAGCAACATATGAAAGGAAATTTGTTCCCAGAAGGTTATATTGATCAGCTCTGACCTTTGAAAAAGCATAAATTATAACCGGTGAGCTTAGTTCCTTTCTCTCTTATGTTTTGCCTTTCAGATAGAGAACCACGTATCTGACATTGACAACTGAGATAAGGTAAGAGCTCAGGATTTAAAAGTGTCTTTTACAACCACTACAGTATTCCATTGTTCAGCAATACGTCTTATTAAACATTCTTATAGCCAGTCATTATTAAAAGAAATAATTACACAAATAAGAAAAAAATATATATTAAAACATAGACTCTGAACTGGTTTTGGAGCATTTCTAAACATTCGTTAATCATCTCAAAAGTCATAAGCTCCATGACATTTAAAGAAGTGCATTTGCTGAAGGGCAGCTAATATGGCGTTCAGCAGAGGGAGCATTAATGGCATTTCAATGGGGCAGAACAGCGGATAAACAGCATTCTTATAATTGAATTGTGAGGTAGGGGGTATGAATGGCTGGGCCTAAAGTAAAGAGTATTGTGCTCTGCAATTCTCAGGGTGTGGCTAATGATGCAGTATTGACATCATATGGTGTGGCCCATGTGCTAGATCAACATGAAGTACTGCAAAATTGCAAAGTAGAAGGAAAAGGATAGCTGACCTTCAAAATATTTTACAATAAAAATCTGAAAGCATGATATTAACAGATTGCTTTTAGAAAATACACAATTAGCACAATTAAACAATTAAAGTTCACATTTAGGGATGTTTTATCACAATACAAATTTTTTTTGCAGGGTATGATATATTTAACTGATTAGGAACAAAATATTTATTATAAAATACCTGTTCCCTATTGTCTTGTGTCTTGTGAATTTCATAAAAAAATATCATAGATGATGAGAGTTGTTTTGTTTTTTAGAACAATGTATCCCATATGTGGACCTCAGGTCCACACAAAACCTTGATGATGACCACCAGCATCATTAAAACCAATGGAAACAGCAGATGGGTCAGGGCAGAGATATTTGAAGCAGAAATACATAATAAAACAATATCCCAAGCTTTTATTATCTCACGGAGCTCTAGTCAGTCCATGGCCTGAAAATGGAAAGTATGTGATGCAACAGCAAACATCGTACTCAAACTTATCGCCTTCCATTTATACGTGTCACTGTGCCAGTATCCCAGACTTACCTCTCCCCACCTGCTCCAGCACTGGTGACAGGTAAATGGAGAGATTTTCCTTTTCGCACATCTCTCTCTTCATCACAGCAGACTGATGCAGTGTCAGATCCATGCCCCCCCCCAAAAAAAAATCTGAACAGGACCACATGAAAGTCAAACTTCTCCACTAGAGGCTGGAAATCTCCTCCGAGCTGAAGGGGGAAAGCCACCTTTTTCTGGTCAGCCGTGGCCTCAGAATTGGAGAAGTCGGTACTCTTCCCAGCTGCATCATTTTCAGGCTTTAACTTCCCACCGTATGCTGTAAGTCTGGGCAGGAGGGAGCCACCAGAACCAAAATCTGCCCTTGGTCGTGCTTAGAAACTCTGTCCATAAAGGCTATGAACATGGCTAATGACAAAGGCAGGCCTCTCAGAGTCCAACAGCCGGCCACTCAGGCTGCTGGGTGACAGAGCCCTGGTTATGTGTGGAGGTGAGGCCATCTATTATTAGCCGGTGTCACTTCACTTACCACAGAAAATCAGGCTCCTCCCCCCCCTGGGGTGGCATTCCACATCCCAAGAGCCAGTTTAAACAACCATGCATCTGGTTGCCAAAGCCTTCAGCTTTGATTGCTAATCAATCCTCTTTGCACCGGTCCCTATGGTTCATCCTGCAGGTAGTAGGCCAATAGGGAGATGGCTTTGCTTCACTCCTTCTGGCTTGGACAGGCAGGGTCCCTAAAGGAGGAACCACCTGGTGCTTGCTAATGAACCCCAACCTTATGCAATTGCCATCTGGATGGATGAGCACATCTTACAATCAATGAATGCAGATTGCTTTACGTCACAATTTGCAATGGATGGCAGAGAAGACATGTAAATGAATTGTAAATTAAGATTAAGATGTGGCCCTTCACCTACTGTAAATCCAATGCAAGGGGAATGGTATTTAGAGACATATTTCCAGTTAAGATTACAAAAAACTGATTTCCAGTTGCTAAATGCAAGGGCCCATTTTCACAAAGAACCCTTAGACTAAAAGGAGCTCTTCCTGACATTATTTTAGTGACATCTAAGATTTTTCTTAGAATGCTGCTTTGGTTAGGTAAAAGCTATTAACAAAGCACCTTAAGCCTTCAGAGAGTACTGAAAGTAAAACAAAATGATAGAAGCAGTAGCTTAGAAAGACTTCTAGAAATCTAGAAGATTTTGGAAAAAGAACTGAACACCACTTAAATAGTGGAATAAATGGGTGCCTATACTGTCATTAATTGGGAGATAAGATCAAACCTATTATCCTTATGAAGGAAATAATTTAGCTTACAATGGTTAAATATGCACCTTTAGTAATGTCATTTTGTTAGTAAAGATATTTCGTAGGAAAATATTTGTTGAATAATACCAACATGGAAGGCATTCTCAGAAAAACTAATGCTTCACATAATAGAAACTTACTAACTTGGTGCAGTAGTAAAACTGAATATTTAAATTACAAATAATCATGTAGTTTTTATTTAACATGATAAGCCAGATTGATAAGTGTAATTCAACATGAATTTTTACATAGGATCAATCTGGGAAGCTTCCTGTAGAGCATATTGGCAAAAGGGAGGAACATTTAGTTTAATTCTTCAACCTGATTGCTTACCTGCCTCTCATGTCGAGTTTTTAGCAGTAGTAGCCTAGACGTATCACATTCTTGATAAATCAAACTCTTACTAAATCGGCTCGGGAAAAACGCACAAATATCGTTCCATCCACAAAGGCTTCTGTGTTAGACAAAAATAGAGCATATTCCAGCTAAAACCTGTGCAGGCATGTTAGTTTTACACTGGAAAAAATTAAAATCTAGATAAGCCATTTTTTCTTAAGTGCATTTGTTCTTGAATCGAGAAGGTACAGTAGAAGGGAGGTTTTGCCAATGGAACAAGACGATTTACATTTAAAATAAGAAAGCACAATTACATTGTCTTATTTCAATTGCATTTTATCTAAATATCTTATTTTACGAGTAAAAATACCCATTCCATTGGGAAACTATCTAATTTACCTACTCAAATTAAGGGAAATACACTTAATTTAAGAAATGTTTTACTTATTTCTAGATCGTTTTTTCAGTGTACTTCAGCCTTCTGCCTCTGGTTGAAGCGTTGAAGCCATGCACGTTACTGCATTTCATTGGTCTGGAACATTTTTGCATCAAGGCTAATGCATCTGTTGGCTTAAGGCAAGATACATTTTCCAGAGTTTTTGAATATACAAATGTCACAACAATTAATCTTGCAAGGTAAATTTGACATGATTCCACATTACAAAAACATCCAATAAATTCAGTGAACTCAAACCACATGGCAGGCTATGTGAATAAAGTGCCTACAAACACACCGCAAACTCAGTAAATTCATTTATACTTCTTTGACAAAGTTTTTGTGCAAATACCAAAAAGAAGGACTAATTTAAGATTTTTAATGAGTTAATGTCTGTCAGGTCTTTTAAAGGTAAATCAATTCAAATCACCTAGAGGATTAGACCCAGCCTTATTGATAACAAATCTTTCAATTACCCAAACAATTACAACACCAAATTTCACATTAACACACACAAAAAAATAAGTTTAAAGTATTAAACTCTTGACATTCACAAAAATGGTAAATGTAGACTGTTAGGTTCTTTGTATCTGTGCATGTTTTTTTGTTTCAGCCAGCAGCATCATGACTGCAACTTGGTCAAAAATAAAAAAATTTGATGTAGGTACATCGTAATTAATGCCCTTTTTAATTGCTTATTTTGTTCTTACAGTTTTACAGTATTTTTTGTGTGCTTATATATACAAGGAAATACCATGAAGCAGTCTTCCAGGTGGAATCAATCAATCACTCAGTAGGAGAGAAGATACTAATTTGTATCTCTAACACAGCATTTCACAATTTTTTTTACCTATATCATGTTTGGATATTACAAAAAGGAAAGACTGAATGATGCAGGGATTTAATTATGTAATATCTCATAATAGTTTAATAAAAGCTTCTCAAACTCATCCTTTGAGAAACTGAAAAGTATTACTGCAGACTCTGTTGATTCTAATGTCCTGCTAGTCTCTTTCTGCCAATAAAGAATCGATCTGTATGTTGTTCTTGACTCCTGGAGGGAGGTTTTCCATCTACCGGATGGTGTTCTGTGTGCAGAATTCTCCTTTTTTTCTTCCATAGTATTTACTGTTTTGTTTCTTCTCAATTTCACTGTCTCCATATTGTTCAAATGTTGTGCCGGCAATAGTTTCTGATATCTTACATTCTAGGTTTGAAGCTTTCTTTGGCCTAATTTTTGGTTAATGTCAGCTGGAAACAAGGAATTTTCTCTTAAGTTATGCAGCAAAGTGCAGTCTCAGCCACGGTTCAGCCTTTGGGAATGCTTTTAGCTTGGTCTAGCTGATTTTTAAGCCTTAAGTAGCTGCTTAAGTAGCCATACGGTTTCTTTAAAAAATGAAGCTTATTGGCTGACAACATAAAAAGCCTGTGCAGAGCCAAACAAAGGCAATATGTAGATTAAACATGGGTTTCCATGCAGATGCCAGTGTTGCACCATATTCTCTAACCATATGGGCCCGGTCTCAATAGTCACTATTTTCACTAATTGGTAGAAGCGTACATAACTGTTTAAGTGTGCAGGTTGTAAACCCTTATGCAGGTCTGCGCTGTACCTGTTATTTTGGTGGGACCTGTCACTGTATTTGCAATCTTACTGCTAAAACATTTTTTTTTAGACTGCAACAAGAAATAGTTTTTTTGTTGTCAGTCTTTTTCAGTGTTGTAAAATCTTAATTATTTTAATAATTAGAGCTGAAATTTTTTTTCGACACATTCGCTGGTGCTTAATTTTTTTATTTATGAGTTAATAAAAGTACAACTGAGACAATACATTTCCCAGATTACAAGATATATCTACAGTGAGGAGAAGACAAAAAACTAAACATCAATATACAAAAGCAGATATTGAGAGA